GGAGATTCTCCCTGGTCCTTCTCTTACTATCTTACTATACTGTTACTGTTACTGTTACTGTTACTGTTACTGTTACTGTTACTATTACTATTACTATTACTATTACTATTATTATTACTATTCTCCTACTTGATGATCTTAGAAGTCTTTTCCAACCTTAATGATTCTATGGGGAACCCTCTTCTTGGGGGGTTATGCCTGCTTAGGGGATGTCTCAGAGGCAGGATTGTCAGGGAGAACACCTTGTGCATTAATCTCACAGGATCAGGGGTTAAACAAGTGCCAAGCTGCTTAGAGCCATCGGGTCAGTGACTGCTCTGTGTGCGCAGCAGGAAAGCAAGCACCTGCACAGCTATGCCTAATTTTAGTACTTAGATATGTGCTGTCAAGGGTGTATATATATTCCTTTTATGAATTCAGCTCTTGGACTGCAGCTAATTTCCCTCTGCTGTCATGTTTGCATAAGGTTTTATGCATTCTCCCTGTATGGATGTGTGTGAGTAAAGAGTGAGGGAATCCTGATAATTTATATGAAATGTAGGTACACGGGTCATGTTCTTGCATAAGTGTATCGTTGCTTATTGCTACCATGACTTACCATATTATTGATGATTCCTAGCAGAATGGAGAGATAGCACAAACTTCAAATAAACACCGTCCCGAAACTAATGAATACCATATATGTATGTGTATATTCAAATATATGTACATACGTAGAAAACACCCTTAATAGCATCCCACTCATAACATGCAGTTAAATACAGGAATCTTTTGGCTTCGGGGCAATACAGGAATGTAGGAGACAAGAGATTGCTTGGCAAGCTTATTTTCAAGAAAAAAAATTGTTTAGCCCTGTACAGTAAATCATAAAACCACACACACACAAAAGTCTTCATACCCATTTCTTGGAGAGTAGAAGTAGGACCTCCAGAATGCACGCCTCCTCCAGATGCTTTTGCTTCATGGGACATCATCGATGAAGCAAGGGATCCTCTTGAGATCCCGGAGGAAGTGAAACCAGCGTTGCAGATGTTTTGGTCAGACATTTCTCTTTCTGATGGTGTGGGAGCCACTGAAGCACTGCGAGGGTCAGCCAATCTCTTTATACACTGCCTAGCTAACAGTGAGGAAATGAAACTACTACCACAACCAGAAAGAAATGAAAGTGAAACATCCTCATCTGGGAAATGAAACTGAACTTTAGGAACATAGCTCTTTTATTGCTGTTGGCAGGGTGAAGTTAAGGCAAACCAACTAATTTCCTCTTGTGATACTAAAACAAATCAGTAGTGTATGAATCATTAATTTGCAACTGATTTAGCTGAGAACTTTGCTTCTTCATTCCTTTGCATTGTACTCTGTTGTACCGAACTGCCCCTGCAGAAGATAGCCCCTCATTTTAAGAAATGATACAACTCTGAGTAAAGACAATAGACAAAAAAGCAGCAAAATGTTGGTCATTTGGAAAATGGTGGTCAATGGAAACTGCAACTCAAGTTGGTTATAGCACCCAGAGTTCAGCTGTCGTACAGCTATGCCTGGAAAAAAACTGGTTTACAGAAAGCTGGAAATCAGAATTCAGTTAATAACAGATGGTTGAAATTTCTCATGCAGGATCATGCTAATCCTGCTAAAGCAGAGCCTCCATCTTTCATCAACAGGCCATTGCAAATGTCATACACTCCTTTATTGCAGTTTTTCTTAGCCAGGATTTTAAACAAGGCTGCTTAAAAATCCATCTTAAAAATATCCCTTAGGAAAAGAGGAATATCTGCTTACGTCTCACTACCACTGAGATGGCTCTCAAAGTGGAAATATACAGAATAAAAATATAGCATTTTCACAGTTGTATAATATCTATATCTTGTACATGGTGGGCTATAGAACAAAGGACATAAAGTCCTTTGCTCTCTTCTTATATGTGCTATTTATCTGAGCAGTGGGATATCTGGCTCATGTACCCCTGAGCAGCACTGCTTTTTCAAGTCTTCTATTTCATTCAATTTTTTCTTTAATTCATATATATTGGTTTTCTTTAATACTAAAGTTTCTTATTTATATTTTCTACTCTGCTTGCATTAGGGCTTATGTAATGATGATGTACCCTTATCCCCATAATTTCTCAAGTATCTCATTTATAATTTTGAATTACTTAATGCTATAAAATATCTAAAGTTGCAGCTTAAACGCAAACAAAATTCCATGTAAGAACAATGTAAGACAATTAATGCTATAGGCCCTCTTTAAAGTGACAATATAACCAGAAATGTCACTTTCTTTGTACATATTCCTGTAGATCCTTCCTTCAAAACTGCTAAAATCTTTCAGTGCTGTGTTGATATCATTTATTTAATATTCTAAACAGCCCCTAAGGAAATTATTATAAAGTCTGGCAAAGCCACAGGAATGAAGGCTTCATAAAGTTGCAGAGACTTTATATATGATAACCTTTTACTCAGTCCTAAAACACAATTCAGAATGGATACACATTAAGTTGTTTAACTAAAAATAGTTCAAATTAGATAAAATAAAGGTTTTATTGCAAGCAAAATGCCTCAAGGCAAGTTATGATTGGCAGAGTCATCAGTGAATAAGCAGGGAAAGGAGAAACTAACAGCAGTCTCACAAAAACAAGGTGAAGAAACTCAATGTAATAAGGAAAGGGAAGACACCAAAGGGACTCAAGGGAAGCCTCTGTTTAAAAGTGTGCCATGGACCTAGACAGCAAGGAGGTGACTCTAAAATCTGCTATGTGGTTGCAGTGAGTTGGGTGAGGAACATGTGAGCTGGCACAGATGACATGGTGCTAAAAAAAGGCTGAGTTCTGCCTGCCTTCAAGCTCTTGTTACTGTTGTGGTGCAGCAAATGTAAGTTCTGACCTGGAAGGGGTTTGCTTTTACTTGCTTTCAGCTTGTTATGAAAACCTGGGACAATCTCTAGTATTAAAGCAAGGTCAATCTCTTGTATCTGTGTCAGGGCTGAGTCCTCTATTAGATCTTAGCAGCCCTGGCCAGCCTCCCCTAGGCCTTCAGTCCCTGCCTGAGCCATGCTGTAGGTGCACCTGTCTGCAGCTCCATCACAGCCATACCTCACTGATCCAGACCAACTCCACATGGCTTGACCTTGGACCTGCCTGGTTAGCAAGGATAGAGTTGCCCTGCAATCAGTGGACTGTGACTGACTTTGGCTACCATCACCAGATCGGAACCTGATTGTTGACTCATGTTTCTGGCTTGACCTTGGACTTGCCTTATCACTACAAACATGACTGGTGATCTGGACTCTTGGTTCAAACTGCCTATCATCTCTGGGTCTGCTGTGCTCACCTTGTTTGGGGTGAACGGGAACATATGACATGGTTAACATCACAGCCTCCAGTTTAAAAAGACGCAGGGAGACTGGGAACAAGAACTCACGCCCCCAGCCCGCAGCTTCCAGAGGCTCCCACTGATTCATCCAGAAAGATGTGCTTTTCTTCTCACCTGCCAGCTTTGTGCAAGATGTTTTCCTAAATGGTCCCCTACCTTTTTTTTCTTTATTTTACTGGTATTTCTGGTTAGAAAGTGTAGCTTCCAAGATGTTAAGCAAATGTAGTTGATGCCCAGCTGAGTTTGCAGGGAGCCTGGCACAAAAACACTAAGGCAGTTGTAAGTCTCTGTGGACTGTTTGCCAAAAATCCAAGCAGTGATGATTTAAGAGCCAAATGGATGCAACTTCTAGTTAAAGTATGGAAGGAAAGAGAAAATAACTCATTTGTACCACCGAGCCTGACATTATAACAGTAAATTGGATCTAGGAGAGTATCTGAGTAATTTCCCTGTTCCAGAAGCTAAAAATCTGAGGAGAGGAGATGGGTGGTGTGAGCTGACCTGAAAAGCATCCAGTGGCACTTCTAAGCCTCAGAGAATAGAGAGTCAAAGCCATGAATACCAAGAGTACAACTGCCTTTATTTTCAGTGTCACTACAATTTCAGTAGCCTTAGGTGCTGAAGCATTTATACATGTAGCTAACAGAGTTTGAAGTTTAACTCTCTGAGTTTCAGGTTCAGATGAAGTCCTTAAGTGTTAAAAATCATGTGCTGCCTATGCCGTGTGCTCTTTGAATGGAGCTGGAAAACCAGAGGCTTGATTGGAAGTACTCTGAAAATTTGAGCTGTGAGGATTCTTCTCTAGATAAGGAAAAAAAAAAGAAAAAGTAGAAAGAAAAATAGCATGCTCAGCTGAAAACACCAAACAAAACAACACAACCAGATGTGCATGCAGCTCTCTAATATTTTGCTTGGGAATGACCTTATGCACTTGTGTCTGTGGCTATAAGCTGCTGTGCCTCTTTGGTGTGCTTTCCTTGAAGTGCTCACTAGTGTGCCACTTAGAGATATTTTCCTCATAGTGAAGCTGGGCAGCTGATCCCAGACATCAATCTCTGCATAGCCTGCTTTTGGTAGTCACCTTTTTCATTCCAATAACATGTTCGTTGAAGTCACTTTTTCATAAACATTTTCCCATAAACCTCTGTTTCAAAAGAGATTATTCAAACAGCTTTTAAACAATTACTCTTTTGAAGGGTCTAATTGAAGGAAATAAAACCTGTAGAGAATCTGACTGAACCAAAGATCTTCAGCATCCAAGATTATCTATCTGTCACCCTGTGACCTATTTCCTTCACACTACTTTTTAATTTTTGTAGCAATTATAGTGTATATGGATAATACCTATTAGCATATTTATGGTCATTGCTTCATATTTATTGTCTGCACAACTCATTAATCTTCATCGAGTGTGTGAGGCTGACAGCTCAATCTATTTTGCAATCTCTGGGCAGCAGCCATATCCAAAAAGCTTTTGTTTCCCTGTAAATAAACTGTGTTCGGGACCAGAGGACAATGGTACATCATGCAGTGATTGACACAAGCCATGGCTGCTAATCAAAAGTAGATTTTATTACCAGCTGAGTCAAGTGCATTATGGGGCCATTGTTCTAGTGCTGTCAGGGCAAGAGCATACGTAGTCAGTCACCTTCTCAAGATGGGTTGATTGTTCTCCAAGATTAGACAGAGTTGCCTTATTATCCATCCCAGACAACAAGGCATCTCACCCAAACAGACGCCTTTACAGAAACTGCCTGTACATTGAATTGATTTAAATTGCTAATGCATAATCTGTCCAGCACAGATGTGCAATGAATATTTGGATGTTGTTTTGCATGTCAGTTGAGAAGGCTGAATGATGAGGTGATGATCATTCAGTGATGGGTACTGGACATTTGCCAACAATTGAGTTTGAGTACTTTCCCTGACAGTAATCAGATCAGCTTCCAAAACGTCTTTTCTTCAATTCACTGACAATTTATGTTAGAAGATAATGCAAGTCTCTCACAGTTAACACAGTTGGCAGCAATCTGCATTTTTTTCATATAATTAAATTTTTCGTTTTATCCAAGAAGAAATGCATACAAGCCTCATATAACTGATGTACGTATTCTGAGGCACTTCCAAAGTGACTCCACTTGAATAAGAGGCCATCTAGATAAGTGAATAAAGTCGAAACTCTCCACAATACAGGTGGCACTAGTTTTATTAGTTATAAAGCTACATTTGCTGTGAAATATTAGGAACCTTGTTATCAAGCTGTATTAGGTAAGCTCTTCAAAAAAAGCAATTAAAGTAATATGCACTTAACATATGACCATGGTCATACTTAGAGAGGGTTGGCAAACACAATGTTCTGATTTAAAAACTTTCAGTCTCTGTCAGGATCGACTTAGTATAAGACAGGAACAGAACTGAACCCACAAGACCAATATTATGACATCAAGGGACTGACATGTGCTTACACAGTGACATCTCATGATTCATGTGAACATGAAGATGTCTTTATGTAGTCATAGTCCTTGAATCATACAAAAATTGATACTGGAAGGAAGGTCTGGAGATGATCTGGTCCAACCAGGGACTTACCCTGTTACTTATTGAGAGACTCACTTGGTTGAGTTCTGAGTATCTCCAAGGATGGAGATTTGGCATCCTCTCTGGGGCAAATGCTCCAG